CCACCACCACCACCACCATACCTGAACTGTTGTCCTCAGAGAACGCCTTTCCCTCAACCTTTGTAGCGCCATCTACTGGCAGAATGACAATATGTCTGCAAAACAATTTATTTAAAATCTTGCCTAGGGCAATTGTATCAGATTTGAGTGTTTTACTATAAAAAACCTGAGCAGACCTGGGATTTACCCATTTACTTGTAATTGAGATGGGCATCACGGGATTGTAGTTTAAGTCTGTCTCACCATTGCCCATTGTCCTTTGGTTCTGAAAATGTAAACCGTGTGCGTGGCTTGGGCAGGAACGCCAGGTTGCTGTGACAGCAGATGAAGCAGCTACAGGTCCTGGTACCTTAGGTGCAGGTGGTAAAGCAAACTCTGTATTCAGCTTGGTTAACAGGTGTTTATCTGTAGCCCTTTCATGCAATAGAATTCAAGTTGTTGTTTATAAAAAAGGAAACAAAGTAATAATAGGAGAAGATTGCCTCCCTGGATAGAACTGTAGAATAGCAACATTTATGGCTTTAGCAAATAAAGAATTCAGTTCTTAAAAAAACAAGACCCCTAGCCGTGGAGACCTGTGGGCGGTTCCACCCTGTCAGAACTGGAGTCCTCTTGAAGGAGGGGTGGGGGTATTGGGAGGGAACTCACTGCTGTGGAGTAGGGGCTGTTCCTCAGCCCGCCTGAGCCCACATCTGCCGGGCCTTCACCGCAGAGGCTGTCCTGTCCTCCACTCCCCACCCTAGCCTGACCGCTGGCCTTTGGTTCAGTGGACCTTGGGGTCTGCTCTGCTCCTGGATGGGCTGTCCCAGCCACCCCTTCTCCCCCGCCCCGGGGTTTGCACGCCTCGCTGGTGCATCCTTGGGTCCCACTGTGCAGCACCCACTGTGGTGTGAGCCTCACGTGCCTCTCTGTCCACTCCCCCATTTGCTGCCCGATTTTCCTTCAGTCAGCCGTGCTCCTCTTTCTGGAAAGATCGGGCCTCTCCGGGCGCTGGCTGGCCACCTGACTGGGACCACCGGCCTGTCTGTGCTCGTGTCGCCATGTCCGAGCTGGTGTGGCCACTCCTCAGACTCTCGCTGCTCTGTCCTTCCTGTGTGGCTTCGTGGCCTGTGCTGTCCCCGAGCCCCTGAAGGTCCCTCGGCCTGTGGGCTCCTCACCTGTGGTTCTGCCACTCTGGTCACAGGTGTGTGGCCAAAGCTGGCTGCCTTCATGTCCTATGGCCCTGTCCTCGGACCACTTCCCACTCTTGCTGCCTCTCTTGTCCTGCCAGCTGCAGCGTGGACCTTCGTGCCACTCTGGCCAGGGGTGTGACGCTGGCATCGAGCCGTCTCT